GGTGGGGGTGCACCTCCTCTCACAGAAACCCTGGAAGGGACCTGGAGATCATCTTGTCCAGCCTGGGCTGCTCGAGCAGGGCCAACCTGGAGCTGATTTACCAGCACCAGGGTGACACCTCCGAGGGTGGAGACCCCACAGCCTCTCTGCACACCCTGTCCCAGCGCTGCGTCACCCTCGCAGTTCAAAAAAAAAATAGTCTGTCGGTTCAGATGGAGCCTACCCCATTTCAGCTTTTATTTTTGTCTTAAGTCTTATCCAAAAAAGAATCCAGTTTACCCAGTCTGAGACCACTGCCAAAGCAAATGGAGTTGATGTTGAAGAGATTTGCTTCAACAGTGAAAACACGAGCCTTTCCCGCAGAGCAGAGCTACTGCTGTAGGTTCCTTCACTGGTTCTTCTCCTGCAGCCGTGTTCTGCCACCCTTATTCACATGCCCGACTTAAAAGCGGTATTTAACATAGTATTTCTTTAAATGTTTTAACTTAGTATGGACAGGGGGGTTATTTTTAATTCCTCCTTAGCTGCTTCCCTGTATCCAAAACCAGGCTGCAAAGTAAAAATACAGAAAACTGTCTAAACTCAAATATAGCAGCACAGCGTGCGCTGCGGTGGCTTAAACCCCGGGGTGTGCTGCACCCACTCAGAACTTGGTAATAAGGCAAATAAGAGAGAAAGGAGAAACTCCCACCTTTACTTTCCACTTTACTGAGATTATAACCCAAGACTGGGCATCATCCTAGGCTGGACTTGATGATCTCGGAGTCTTTTCCAGCCTCAGCAATCCTGTGACTTCCTAACGCTGCGATTGGCATCTCTGGGGCTCGCAGGTGTTCACCGCCAGGTCCTCTTCGTCACCGTGGGCTGGTTTGTGGGTTATTTCCTCATGAGGCGCATGGAGTACATGCACGCCAAGGTGGACCGGGAGTTGTTCGAGTACGTCCGGCAGCACCCGGAAGACTTTAAGGCAGCAGGTACGAGAAGTCAGCGTTTGAAAACGTATCGCAAACTGCTTTCAGGCATTCGAAAAACGTATTTCGAATAGACGGTGGTAAATAAGTGCTGAAGGATGTGGCGGCAGTGCTGGGCCGCTCGGAGAATCGCGTCTCTCCCAGCGAGCCCAGCTGGCTGCTCACTCCTGCTCGTTCACAATCTAAAACGCGGCAGGATTAAGGATTTCATGGTATGAAGTATGCTTGAGCCCTTGATGACCGACTCTTCCTTCTAGAAGCTTGTTTTAATATAAAAATGGCAAAAAATAAATAATAGATCAAATTTGTGCTGCCGAAGAAGGAGCAAAGTAAGGAAGATTAGAAATCACGGGGGTTTGTCCTTGCAAAAATCACCTTTTTACTGTTCATTCTTGTGAAACGGCGATGTGTTTCGATTCAGAAATGGAGCGATGAATATTCAGAATATTCAGGTGAAAGGAGAATAAATCGAAATGTCAGGAAACCCGAAGCACCGTTGAGCTGTTGCTGCCCGAGTGCTGCGGCGCAGGGCAGCGTTTGACCAAACGTGCTCACTAAGCCCAGATTTAGGCTGAAGGTTCTCTTATTTTCTGATAAAACCCACTCAGGTAACTCTGGCTGTTGAGTTGGGATCCACGTGGTGCCGTCTCGGAAGGGATCTCTAGAAATAAAAATGTGTTTGTATCGAGATCCCCTCACCGGGATCTGCAGCTCAGCCCCGTGGAGGAGAAGTTAAAGATTTAGTTTGTGCAGCCAGCAAGAGTTTGCAAAACCCCCACGGTTTTGGTGGCTTTGTTAAGCCGAGGATTTAATATTAAAAGTTCAGAATGCTGATGAGGTTTTTGCCACTCGCCCCTCGCAGACAAGAGGAGGATCGGAGAGCTCTTGGAGGATTTCTACCCGGTTTGCTGAGGATTTCTCCGGCGGCGACGTGTCACGGGAGGCGCCTGCTGAAGTGATTCCGTACCGATCGTTTTGAGAGTTTCCGTCCGAGAACATCGTCAGGCTGCCGCTGGGGCTTGGGAAACTTTTGCGTAATAAAAGCTATGGTGAAATACTTTGCTTTTAATTATTTGTTCTTCTGTTCCGTTACGGCGTATCCGTGTAGAGGTGACAGGTGATAGGAGAATCGGTTTGATTCACCCCTTTTCAGTTAATTTAATTCTGAACATGGGAGGTTATTCCTGCAGTTTATATCTTATTAAAAAACCCCAGAAAATAGTTATGGAAATTCCTCCTTTTTATTCCTCTTAACCTTTGAGCTCTGGGCCAGCCCCTGCAGACACTGGCCAGAGTCTCAGGGTGAAAGGAGTTCCATCCCCCTAAGAAAATAGATGTTCTCCCCAGTTAGTTATTTTTCTATATTTTGTGTTCTTGCGTTGCTTTTTCTTCACTTGGCATCACGATTTCTGCTCCCACACGTGGGTGTTGGCTCCCGAATCCTCGCGCTGAACCCAAACGTGTTCCAGACACGCTGAGGATCGGCCGCTCTCCTGAGTTTCGCCGCGGGGCGCTCGGCACCTCTGGGGCTCGGAGCGCTTCTGCTTGAGGCTGCTCCGGTTGGGAACGTTTTTTACAGACTCACTGACCTACGCTGGTTCTCAGCATCTGCTCCGGCTTCCTCCGGTGCTGCCCTGTTCCCCCTGCACCACCTTCTGCTCTGGGTGGTGCCTCAGACGCTTTTTCTCGACTACCTTGTCCCTGTGGGAGCCTCTCGTGTGCTCCGGGTGCTGCTGCCTCACCCCCTGCTCCCAGCCCGGGGCTGCTCTGAGGGTCAGGACGGTTGGGTCCTTCTCCTTTCTTTGTCACCAGGGTCTGACTCCGCTCCCAAGTGATGTTTCAGAAATAGAATCACAGAATCATTAAGGTTGGAAAAGACCTCTAAGATCGTCCAGTCCAGCTGTCTACCCAACACCACCGTGACCACTAAAGCATGTCCTGAAGTGCCACATCTACACATTTTTTGAACACCTCCAGGGATGGGGACTCCACCCCTGCCCTGGGCAGCCTGTGCCAGGGCTTGGCAACCCTTTCAGTAAAGGAATTTTTCCTAATTTCCAATCTAAACCTCCCCTAGTGTGACTTGAGCCCGTTTCCTCTTGCCCTGTCATTAGTAACTTGGGAGAATCGACCAGCACCCACCTCACTACAACTTCTACTCCAGAAGTTGTAGAGGAGCGATGGGGTCTCCCCTCAGCCTCCTCCAGACGAAACAGCTCCAGCTCCCTCAGCTGCAACTCCTCCCAGTTGTCCTCCAGACCCCTCCCCAGCTCCGTTGCTCACCTTCGGAGCAGGTTGGGTCTGCTGGGGGAAGGTGACGTCCGCGGGGCTCCATTTGCTGCTGGGACCACCAGGTCACTTTGCTTCTCTGCCAGAAAGATAGGGACAAGTGTCCCCCTCAGCGTGCCTGGAACTGTGCGTTGAGCAAATCCACATCGGGGTGGGATGCTGTGAGCAGCCGGAATCCGGCTCT